ACACACACACACACACACACACACACAGACACACACAGGCTGGGCTGGGGCGGCGAGGACAATTCCCCCATTCAAGATGCTGCCCAGGCAGGTTCTCCCAGCCTCCTGGGAAGGGGAGGGGGAGCCTCCTGAATGTTACCACCCCCCAACCTCCCCTGCTTCTCCCTCCCCAACAGGAAGATGAGGATGGGCTCAGTCCCCAGCTCCAACTGCCCGGTTTTCTTTCCCGCCATCTTTGCAGTTTCCTTCTTTTCTCCTGGTGTCTGCCCTCTCTCCGGGACACCTGCAGGGGCAGGCCTCTTTAGCTGGAGGAGCTTTTTCCATTTCTGCACCTCAGTCGCCGCCTGGTGTTGTGTGTGGGTCAGTGCGGGGGCCCCAGTTCACAGCTTGGGGCTCTCCTGGCCCAGGGGGCCTTGGGCAGTGGCCTTGTTCCCATTCCTACCTCTACGACCCTCTGATGGAGTCCCCAAAACTCCCGAGTCCTGTCCCCTCTCCCATGGTGACGTAGCGCCCATGTGTTGTTCCCCAGAGGGGGTGGCAGGGACTCAGTCCTGCGGAGGAAGGGGTGCGAGCAGAGGGTGCGGGCCCAGGCCCATCCCTTCCCCTACCCACCAGACATCGGGCCAGAGAAGGTGAATCAGAGCTGGTGAGGGGAGGATGGAAGTCGGGGGCAGCACTGAGACTGAGAACGAAGGCAAAGGGTAAATAAAAATGGTGAGGGGAGAGGGTCAGGGCAGGTGGGCGGCAGAGGCCCCCCGTGATGACCAGCTCCTGAGGCTGCCTGAGCCTTCCTGCCACGTCCAGCCCCCACCATGGGAAGGGGAAGTCCCACTGGGCAGGGTGGCCTGGCCAGGGGCACCCCTCCCTTCCTGGGGCCCTTTCCTCCTGCAGAGGTGGCCATCTCCGAGGATAAGCGCAGAGTAACAATGCCTTTCTAGAACCCAGTATCCTACCTGCTTTGACATCCCCAAACTCATGTCCCCTTTCCCTTGGGGTCCTACATCCTGACCCTCCCCTGCCCACTTGGCAGCCTTCGTTTCTTAGAGCCCAAGCAAGGTGTCCCAGGCCCTTCCCCAGGCAAGGACCTGCCTGACCCTGGGGGAGGGACGGGGTGTTTGCACCATGGCCTCAGGCTGGGGTGAGTGGGTCAGGCTACTTGATAGAGGCCAGCCTGCCCCCACCCCTCCCTCAGCTCCCATAGTGACCCCTAGGTCGTTTTTTGGAAATGGACGGATGTAGGGTGGGTGCCTCCCTAGAGGGTTACAGGCTGGGTCGCCCTTTGGAAAAAGCTACATTCCCCATCCTTAGCTTCTACCCAGCAAGACATCTTATCACCAGAAATGTAAAACTCAGAGTCACCTTGCACTACCCTTGGCACAGCGCTCAGAGGCCACTTCATTTCCTCTAAGAACCAGGCTCCTGGGGCAAGTCTTTTCTCCTGTATCAGAAGCCAGGGGTCTGGGGCCACAGCCCACCCTTCATCCTCCTCCCTCCCTGCCCTCTGCCCGCCCGTGATGGCAAGGTCCCCGGCTGAGTGGGCACCAGTGCGGCTTCCTCTCAGGGACAGCCCCCTACCTTCCCAGCCCTAGGCTCTGTCTCCTTCATATTTCTCCCCCAAGAACCCCCCCACAGACCCAGCTTCCTCTACCATAACCACATGGAAATCCACACCTCAAAAATAAATATTTTTATTTTAACTCCTTGTTTGAAGACAACTCAAAACTGAGTGACTTCGAAGGCACACTCTGGAACAATACCTGAGGAAAAAGCCAGAAAATCTGCGTTAGAAGCAGACTCACCTCTGGGTTCCCAAGGTTCCGGGCTGTGGGCTGGTTCTCACCTGTGTCTGCTCTGGCCCCTCTGCCTCTGCTCTGGCTCCGAATCTTCTCCCTAACAGCCGTGGGGGACAGGCGTGGGGAACAGGCATGGGTCCCCCCAGTGGCCCTAGGCTCCCCCCAGCCTTCCTCACTCCTTCCCAACTCACCTCCACCTCCTCCTCACTCTGTAAACGCACTCTCTGGTGGCCGCCAGCACTACAGCCACCACAGGCACCAGCATTCCCAATAGGATGGCCACAGAGCTGGATGCTTCTGGGTGCAGAGAAGAGAAACAGGGATGGGAGACAGGAAGGGGTGGGAACTGAGGGGTGGGGAGGACCTCATCCCCCTGCATCTCTGGCTGTGCTGGTTCTCCCTCCAGGAGGCTGTCACCCCCAGGGACTCCAAGGCCTCACCACCATCTCCCCAGCACCGCCCCCCCAGCAACCCACAACTCCCATAAGCCTTTTTTTCCTTTTTTTTTTTAAGGGTTGGGGGGGCGGGTTGTGAGGAGAAGTGCTCAGTTGCCTTGTTTGTTTTTGTTGAGACAGTCTCACTCTGCCACCCTGGGCTCAAGCAATCCTCCTGCCTCAGCCTCCCAGTGTCCCATAATCCTTTTTAGGGGGATGTTCATCCAGCTGGTGCCCTGGAGCCCAGGTATCATGTCGGCCAGCACCTCTCAAAGAGCAGCCCTGGAATCACTTCCCTCAGTCACCTGGGCACTTGCCGAAAATGCAGATTTCTGGGCCCGCTCCAGACCTACCAAACCGAATCTGACTCTCTGGGGGTGTGTCCTGGAATGTACACGAGAAGCCGCCCCTACCCCGAGGCAAGCTAAAGCTGGAGAACCGCTGGCCCCAGGCTCAAGGGAATGACGGTTTTGGATGGGGGAGAACAATGAAAGGTACTGGACAGGCACAGAGGGACACCGGAGGGGAAACAACAGCAGGGTGTGGCACACAGGTCCCAGAAGAAGGGCTGGGGTCCAGAGAAGATTCCAGAGTATGCAGATAGGAGATGGACACAGGTTCTTTGAGGACCCTTGTCCTGCTATGATCCTTATTATAATAGTATGTGTAATATAGAAATATATATGATATAATATATAGCATATTAATCATATACATTATATCTATTAATAGATATAATGTATATGATTAATATGCTATATATTATATCATATATATTTCTATATTACACATACTATTATAATAAGGATCATAGCAGGACAAGGGTCCTCAAAGAACCTGTGTCCATCTCCTATCTGCATACTCTGGAATCTTCTCTGGACCCCAGCCCTTCTTCTGGGACCTGTGTGCCACACCCTGCTGTTGTTTCCCCTCCGGTGTCCCTCTGTGCCTGTCCAGTACCTTTCATTGTTCTCCCCCATCCAAAACCGTCATTCCCTTGAGCCTGGGGCCAGCGGTTCTCCAGCTTTAGCTTGCCTCGGGGTAGGGGCGGCTTCTCGTGTACATTCCAGGACACACCCCCAGAGAGTCAGATTCGGTTTGGTAGGTCTGGAGCGGGCCCAGAAATCTGCATTTTCGGCAAGTGCCCAGGTGACTGAGGGAAGTGATTCCAGGGCTGCTCTTTGAGAGGTGCTGGCCGACATGATACCTGGGCTCCAGGGCACCAGCTGGATGAACATCCCCCTAAAAAGGATTATGGGACACTGGGAGGCTGAGGCAGGAGGATTGCTTGAGCCCAGGGTGGCAGAGTGAGACTGTCTCAACAAAAACAAACAAGGCAACTGAGCACTTCTCCTCACAACCCGCCCCCCCAACCCTTAAAAAAAAAAAGGAAAAAAAGGCTTATGGGAGTTGTGGGTTGCTGGGGGGGCGGTGCTGGGGAGATGGTGGTGAGGCCTTGGAGTCCCTGGGGGTGACAGCCTCCTGGAGGGAGAACCAGCACAGCCAGAGATGCAGGGGGATGAGGTCCTCCCCACCCCTCAGTTCCCACCCCTTCCTGTCTCCCATCCCTGTTTCTCTTCTCTGCACCCAGAAGCATCCAGCTCTGTGGCCATCCTATTGGGAATGCTGGTGCCTGTGGTGGCTGTAGTGCTGGCGGCCACCAGAGAGTGCGTTTACAGAGTGAGGAGGAGGTGGAGGTGAGTTGGGAAGGAGTGAGGAAGGCTGGGGGGAGCCTAGGGCCACTGGGGGGACCCATGCCTGTTCCCCACGCCTGTCCCCCACGGCTGTTAGGGAGAAGATTCGGAGCCAGAGCAGAGGCAGAGGGGCCAGAGCAGACACAGGTGAGAACCAGCCCACAGCCCGGAACCTTGGGAACCCAGAGGTGAGTCTGCTTCTAACGCAGATTTTCTGGCTTTTTCCTCAGGTATTGTTCCAGAGTGTGCCTTCGAAGTCACTCAGTTTTGAGTTGTCTTCAAACAAGGAGTTAAAATAAAAATATTTATTTTTGAGGTGTGGATTTCCATGTGGTTATGGTAGAGGAAGCTGGGTCTGTGGGGGGGTTCTTGGGGGAGAAATATGAAGGAGACAGAGCCTAGGGCTGGGAAGGTAGGGGGCTGTCCCTGAGAGGAAGCCGCACTGGTGCCCACTCAGCCGGGGACCTTGCCATCACGGGCGGGCAGAGGGCAGGGAGGGAGGAGGATGAAGGGTGGGCTGTGGCCCCAGACCCCTGGCTTCTGATACAGGAGAAAAGACTTGCCCCAGGAGCCTGGTTCTTAGAGGAAATGAAGTGGCCTCTGAGCGCTGTGCCAAGGGTAGTGCAAGGTGACTCTGAGTTTTACATTTCTGGTGATAAGATGTCTTGCTGGGTAGAAGCTAAGGATGGGGAATGTAGCTTTTTCCAAAGGGCGACCCAGCCTGTAACCCTCTAGGGAGGCACCCACCCTACATCCGTCCATTTCCAAAAAACGACCTAGGGGTCACTATGGGAGCTGAGGGAGGGGTGGGGGCAGGCTGGCCTCTATCAAGTAGCCTGACCCACTCACCCCAGCCTGAGGCCATGGTGCAAACACCCCGTCCCTCCCCCAGGGTCAGGCAGGTCCTTGCCTGGGGAAGGGCCTGGGACACCTTGCTTGGGCTCTAAGAAACGAAGGCTGCCAAGTGGGCAGGGGAGGGTCAGGATGTAGGACCCCAAGGGAAAGGGGACATGAGTTTGGGGATGTCAAAGCAGGTAGGATACTGGGTTCTAGAAAGGCATTGTTACTCTGCGCTTATCCTCGGAGATGGCCACCTCTGCAGGAGGAAAGGGCCCCAGGAAGGGAGGGGTGCCCCTGGCCAGGCCACCCTGCCCAGTGGGACTTCCCCTTCCCATGGTGGGGGCTGGACGTGGCAGGAAGGCTCAGGCAGCCTCAGGAGCTGGTCATCACGGGGGGCCTCTGCCGCCCACCTGCCCTGACCCTCTCCCCTCACCATTTTTATTTACCCTTTGCCTTCGTTCTCAGTCTCAGTGCTGCCCCCGACTTCCATCCTCCCCTCACCAGCTCTGATTCACCTTCTCTGGCCCGATGTCTGGTGGGTAGGGGAAGGGATGGGCCTGGGCCCGCACCCTCTGCTCGCACCCCTTCCTCCGCAGGACTGAGTCCCTGCCACCCCCTCTGGGGAACAACACATGGGCGCTACGTCACCATGGGAGAGGGGACAGGACTCGGGAGTTTTGGGGACTCCATCAGAGGGTCGTAGAGGTAGGAATGGGAACAAGGCCACTGCCCAAGGCCCCCTGGGCCAGGAGAGCCCCAAGCTGTGAACTGGGGCCCCCGCACTGACCCACACACAACACCAGGCGGCGACTGAGGTGCAGAAATGGAAAAAGCTCCTCCAGCTAAAGAGGCCTGCCCCTGCAGGTGTCCCGGAGAGAGGGCAGACACCAGGAGAAAAGAAGGAAACTGCAAAGATGGCGGGAAAGAAAACCGGGCAGTTGGAGCTGGGGACTGAGCCCATCCTCATCTTCCTGTTGGGGAGGGAGAAGCAGGGGAGGTTGGGGGGTGGTAACATTCAGGAGGCTCCCCCTCCCCTTCCCAGGAGGCTGGGAGAACCTGCCTGGGCAGCATCTTGAATGGGGGAATTGTCCTCGCCGCCCCAGCCCAGCCTGTGTGTGTCTGTGTGTGTGTGTGTGTGTGTGTGTGTGTACACGTGGGGGGTCCCCTCCTGCCTCTCCCCCTCCCCCACAGCCTCTAAACCAGCCCCAGCTGTCAACATCTGGCCCACATCTGTCTCCTTCATGACTGGACCCCCTGCCCCAGCCTGTGCCCCCTCCTCTCCTTTTAGGGGGCTGCAGGGCAGGGCTAAGAGCTCAAGTCTCCCTTCCCTCCCATAGCCCCCTGCCTCAGCTAAGGGAGGTGGGGGGGAGGCAGCCCCACCCCGGAGGTGCCCCAGGCTCTTGGCAGAGCCAGCTGGAGCCGTTAGAAGCAGCTGCCAGTGACTCATCTCCCAGGCCCCCACCCCCACCTCAAACACACCCTGGGGCCCAGAACCATGCCCCCCCACTGAAGCCCTGCTGTCCCCAGACCCCTGACCCCTCTCAGTGGGCCATAAAAGCCCCCAAACCCAGACCCCACTCTCCTCAGGATCTAGTCCATCCTGGTTCCCAATCATCCCCAGAGCTGGGACACTTCCCATTTTCTTTTATTTATACAAAAAGTTATTTTTTTAAATATAATTTAAGAACCCTCCAAGCACCGACGTTTGACGTTTGACTCTGGTTTCCACCACCTCATTGCCCCTTTCACTACCCACCCCTACAACCACCCCAGACACAGCTTGGAGGTCTCTGGGGGGGCAGGGGAATGTCTGGGGTTGTGGTGCGACCAAGGCACTGTTCTGGAAAGACACAAGGACGGGTCCCTGTTTCAACTTGGGCAAAGGAGGCAACAGTGAAACAGGTGACCGCCAACACAAAAAGTTATGACAAGGACCGTAGAAAAATGAAACAAAAGGTCTTGGGGTGGGTGAGGGAGATAAGACCAAAAACAAAACTCAAAAACCTTCAATATGAAGGCAGCAGATGGGGAGGGGCATTTACAAGGAAAAATGATTGAGTTTGGTGGTGAAAGCAGCAAGTTGGGACATCAAAGCCCAATGATTTTGTCACTGGGCCATGACACCCCTTCCTGCCTCCTGGGACAGGCTCCACCCCACAGCTCGTCACTCTCTCTTTGGTTTGCAGGAACACACCCCTTAAGGTGGGGGAGCACCTGGGGAGCCCTCTGGGGAGGTTAGGAGATTATGGGCACTTCCTTCCCCTCTGGTCACACCCAGTCCTGAGGGAAAGGCACCCTCACCCTTGGTCTGGGGTTACCCACTACCCACCCAGGTGTGTGTGGGGGTGATTTCTACACTCCCATATGTTAGAACCCCCAAATCCTGTCTCTGCAAATTGCCAACTCCCCACCCCGATAAGTTCAAAGTGCAATCCAGTGGGGCACAGGGATGGGGGCTTCTGTGAGTCCCCACTTTGCCCCAGGAAGAAGGGGAAGCCATGTCCCTGGGGTGGGGAGTTCCTGCAGGTCAGTACTGTGGGGCTGGTCCTCCTGTCCCGCCTGGGGCTCCGGACTTGGCCTGGGACTTCATGTGCTGGACACTGGCCAAGATTTTCTTCTGGTGTCCCGCCAGAGTGACTCCAATTCGGAGCAAGTCCCTGTGGAGGAACAGAGAACTCAATGAGAAAGAGGGTCCCCACGGTCCGGTCAGGCCTGTCAGCCAATCAGGAAGACCAGCGGGACAGGGGTACTGGCATCAGCAGTTGCCGGGCAGTTTCCGGAGGATTTAGGAGCCAGAGAGGCTGCTGTCCTGCGCAGCTAGCAGTGTTTATGTGGGGAGCCAGGCTGGCTTGGAGGCTCTGGGAAAGGGAGGAAAGAGAGAGAGAAAAGCCAACAAAATGAGGCTGGGGGAAAAAGCCATAATTGGGAGGGGGAAGGAGAACTGAGAAAGAAAAGGCCTAAGAAAGAGAGTTAGAGAGCTGCATGGAGAGGACCTAGAGCTGCTGACACCTGGAGACTGAGTTACGGGGACAGAGGAGGGAGAGGAGGACCCTGTGTCCAGGAGAGGCCGGGCCAAGTCAAGGAGAGGAGCGCCCAGGCCCCACGGGGCAGACTGGCCAGCGACCCTCTGTTCCAGATTTCTAGTCCTTCTACATCTGCTATTCAACCCGGGGTGAGAAAAGACCTCGGGAGAGAAATAGGGAGGCAGGAAGGAGGGGTACCAGACGGAGGCCAAGCAGGGATAAACAGCATTTGGGAGGCGAAGGAATCATAAAACCATTTAACGTTAAAGCTGGAAAGGATCTCCAAAACCGAGTCCAGTGTTCTCCTTTTATGGATGGGAAAACAGAACCAGAGTTGACACGTTGTTAATGTGAGAGCCGGGTCTGGAATGTAGATAGAGGCGCAAAGATAGATACAGATTGTGACAGATCGTGAGTCTCCAAGGAGATGGCCCAGGCCGTGATGGTGGGAGGAGGTGAGATGGACACACTGGCCCGGGAGCCCTGGGTCCTCAGCCCCAGGGGCTGTCACTGCTCGGGGCTCTTCTGGGCATGGCCCAGGGCAACTTCCTTAGGGTTGTCCTTCTGTGGAAACAGAGTCAGTACCACGAGTTGATTCCAAAGGCCCTGCAGACCCTGTGGGCCTGACTGGTGCCCATCCTCACTGCTCCTGGGCTCCCCTCTGGCTGCTCTGCAATCCCCGCCACCCCCTCAGCTCCTGCGGCCACTTACTCCGTGGAGATCTGGCTGACCAGCTCAAAGGAGCCAAACCCAGCGGCTGCAAAACTTTCTTCGTATCTTCCCATCTTGATGGCTCGAAGCCACTCGCCCACAGAGCCAAAAGCTGAGTAGTGAGGCTGCCGCTGATCCAGGAGCGGGTGCGAGGCCCTGGGGGGGAAGGATGGGGAGCAATGCTGAGTACCAGGCCTGAGTCAGGGCGGAGAAGCTGAGCTCAGCCTTGCAGAGGTGGACAGAGATCACCCCACTATCACCAAAGGGACAGATACTTCTGGACGGGGAGGGTGGCTCGCGGTGGTTTGCAGAGAGCAGGGCCCATTCTCTGGAGTCCTCACCCGCCATTCTCCCTGGCCACGATTTTGAGGCTGGCAGGATTCCGGATCATCTTGTCCAGGGCACTGACCACCTGCGGGAATCGGGGCCGGGCGTTTCGGTCCTTCTGCCAGCAGTCCAGCATGAGCTGGTGGAGGGAGGTGGGGCAGTCTGGGGGCGGGGGTAGCCGGTAGTCCTGTTCGATGGCATTGATCACCTGGAAGGATGGGGAGAAGCACCGGGTGAGGCAGTCCAGGAAGAAGAAAGATGCGAAGGGCCCCAAGGAGATAGTGGCTTAGCAGATGATGGGATGGGAGCCACAGCTCCCCAGAATCTGAGATCCAGGAACCCTCCTGGCCGGAGCTGAGGCTCTCTGCAGCTGGACGACCCAGCAGCTGCTGGCTATGGTGTAGTTGTGCAACCTCCCAACCCTGCCCTCCATCTCTGCGTCCTTCTGTGACCCAAATATGCTGTATCAAACTCTCGGATATGAAGATCAACTCTACTTTGTGCCACCCCCTCCAGCTCAAGGACCCAGCAGTGACGACACTCTGAGAACCCCACCCTCCCTCCTGTATCCCAGGTGAGAGAACACTCCAGGAAAGCTTGGTGTGACCATGGGACACTTACGTCCTGATTGCTCATGTCCCAGTATGGCCGCTCCCCAAATGACATCACCTCCCACATCACAATCCCATAACTCCAAGCATCACTGGCAGATGTGAACTTCCGGAAAGCAATCGCCTCGGGGGCTGTCCATCGGATGGGAATCTTTCCTCCCTGCAGGAGGGACAGAAAATGGTGAGCTGAGGGACTCACTGGCCCAGGCACACTGACCCCCTGCCCTTTGCTATTCCCCCTTGCTCAGGCCCCACGCCCCCAATTCCCCAACTCTGTTCTTTTCCTAGACACCTGGAATTCGGGTTCCCTAAGCTGACTGCCGCCTCCCTGGACCAGAGCCTCCAATCCCTCAGCCTCCTACCTTTCCAACTTGCTGTCCCCACCTGGCTGTAAGAACCCAGCTCACACCCCTCCCTGGTCCCCAGCCTTACCAGAGAGCTTGTGTAGGTGGGATCCGAAGAGTTCTCCTCCAGGAATCGGGAAAGGCCAAAGTCAGACACCTTGCAGACGAGGTTGCTGTTGACCAGGATGTTGCGGGCAGCCAGGTCTCGGTGGACGTAGCTCATCTCAGCCAGGTACCGCATTCCCGAGGCGATGCCCCGCAACATGCCCACCAGCTGGATGACCGTGAACTGCCCGTCATTCAGCTGCAGAGCAGACGAGGGAGAGGGGCGTGGTTAGGACAGCCCACCCGCTGCCATTCCCCTTCCCGTCCACTTCCTGCACTGTGCCTGCCACTTCCAGTCCCTCCTCACAGCTCACCTGCAGAGCAGGCCCCCCGAGTTCCCCGGGTGCCCACTTCCTTTCTCGCCCTGAGTTCTCTCAGCTCTCACTACAGCATCACAACACAATGCCTGTAACTATTCAGTGACACGTATTCAGTCTGTCTCAATTAGGTTATAAGGGGATGCTTTTAAAACTTGTTCTTT